GAAACCATAAAAATCAAGTCCTAGTTTATTAATTTTAGTAAAGCTTTGAAACAACTAGTTTCAAACTAGAAATCAAATGTTGCTAGATTTTTACATTAACTACTGTGTACAGTATAATTAAATGTAAAACAAAAAAAGTATTAATTTTGATACAAAATCGTCCATCATTTCCAGTCCTCAAAGTAGCAAAAGCTGAAAAAAAAAAAACAGGGATTTGTGGGAACAGATATGATTCAGCTTAATCGGTTTAATTGAATTTAATTGAATTTTTTGAGCTAGTTCTTTCAAATAAAATCACAGAAAGATTTTTTAATTCATTACACTAAAGTTAAACTAAGGTTCTATGTTACTTCTAAACGTCTAAAGCATGTATTCATTTGTTGATTCAGCTTAATCGGTTTAATTGAATTTAATTGAATTTTTTGAGCTAGTTCTTTCAAATAAAATCACAGAAAGATTTTTTAATTCATTACACTAAAGTTAAACTAAGGTTCTATGTTACTTCTAAACGTCTAAAGCATGTATTCATTTGTATTTCATTAATATTCTATAACACTGAAATATATATAACTTAATAATATATTATATATATATATATATATATATATAAAATAGACAAAAAATGAACAGTTTTGTTATTGTAACAAATGTACTGCTTATTGTTAGTTAACGCATTAATGGGACCTTATTGTAAAGCAGAAATTCAAATAAACTGTCACTAAAATAAATGAACAAGACATCCATCAAATGTTGAGACACTATTACACTACAGAAAAATGTTAGTAGGTGTCGATACTATTACGCCACATTGTTGGCTAGCATTCAGTGTGATTATTCTGTCATATCAGGGCTGGGTCCATTTTTGTCTTTAAAGAATGAATAGATAAAGGCTGGTGGAGAAATATGAGGCTTGAGGATGAAAGGAATACAACAAGTTCAGACAAATACAAACAATAGTGAGGGTTTACATCACTGTTAACTGTGATGTTTTACAGGAATTCAAACCAGTTTAGTTGTTCACTATCAACTGAAAAAGAAATACTTGAAAAGCTGGAGCATTTTGCGACAGAGTGGGCGAGGCTGACAAGCGTGTTTTAGTCTAACTGTCTCACCGTCATGGAGTCTCTTGGCTTCTCTCTGCAGGGCGAGACCTGATGAGTAGGCCTCTATGCAGCCGTGGCTGCCACACATGCACTCTGGTCCTTCCAACGAGACCACGATGTGTCCCAGTTCTGCCGCACAAAACGTGCTGCCATGGATCAGTTCATTATGCTGGATTATACCACCTCCGATTCCTGCACAAATAAACACAGTGCAAAGCTAATTACAGGCAGAGTCACCGAAGTCAAATAGAAGTAACAATTATATCAGTTTTGGTCTTTATTTATGCAGGGACATGGCATTAGAAATCTGTTTGATCATGTGTTTCTAATTACTTATATACAGTACACACACCTGTTTCAGTTAAAGAGAAAAACAATATTTCTCAATGTTTTCTGATTCATTCCCAGAAAAAGATGTAATTAATGCCACATGACCTATTTTACATATAATTAACAGGATACAGTCACAATATTTGTGTGTAATGCAAAATAATGGTTCAGAAGTCTTTAAAAAAGTTGGTATGATATGGTAAAATACTGGTACTGATATGGTAAAATCTAAGTAATCAAGCATAAAAGTTAAAAATATATACTACTATCAAAAGGTAGGTAATATTTTTTTTTAATTGTTTGAAAGAAGTATATTATGCTCACCCAGGCAGCATTTATTTGATAAAAAAGGGTAAAAACAACAATAATAACATGATATATTATTAATGTAGGTTTAAAAGGTTTTCTTTTTTAATTTAAAAAATATATATATAATTTATTCCTGTGATGGTAAAGCTGCATCATTACTCCAGTCTTCGGTGTCACATGATCCTTCAGAAATCATTCTAATATGCTGATTTGATGCTCAGTTGTGCTGCTTAATATTTTTGTGGAAACTGGATCAGGATTCTTTGATTAATAGAAAGTTCAACAGCATTTAATCCAAATAGAAATATTTTGTAGCATTATAACTGTATTTACTGTCACTTTTGATCAAATTAATGCATTCTTGCTGAATAAACGTAAAATAATCTTGCTGGCCCCAAATATTTGAATGGCGAAGTAAATACTAATATATAAATTGTATAATTTAAAGTTATTAATTTATAAAATAAAAATATACACATTTACATTATTAATATTATGTATAAAATCTTTAATATAATTATATTATAATATATCATTTAAATAAAGAGATTTCAGCTGTAACCTTTTCAAATGGAAAAAAAAAATCAGGCATAATTAGCACAGTTTCTTGAGAATTACCCTCTAAGGCAGTGGTCACTGACCTTTTTAGGCCCAAGATCCCTGACCTCGGCCTTTATGAAAGACATGTGCTGCTTAATATTTTTGTGGAAACTGGATCAGGATTCTTTGATTAATAGAAAGTTCAACAGCATTTAATCCAAATAGAAATATTTTGTAGCATTATAACTGTATTTACTGTCACTTTTGATCAAATTAATGCATTCTTGCTGAATAAACGTAAAATAATCTTGCTGGCCCCAAATATTTGAATGGCGAAGTAAATACTAATATATAAATTGTATAATTTAAAGTTATTAATTTATAAAATAAAAATATACACATTTACATTATTAATATTATGTATAAAATCTTTAATATAATTATATTATAATATATCATTTAAATAAAGAGATTTCAGCTGTAACCTTTTCAAATGGAAAAAAAAAATCAGGCATAATTAGCACCGTTTCTTGAGAATTACCCTCTAAGGCAGTGGTCACCGACCTTTTTAGGCCCAAAATCCCTGACCTCGGCCTTTATGAAAGACAAGATCTACCTATTGAAGAATTGATAGAAAAAGACATCCCAGATTGTGC